CCAGAAATTGCCTACAACATGGTGGTAGGTATCTTTGTAAGAACTCCCACAAGACCCCATATGCATTGCCTTTAAGCATATCTCAGAACAGTATATGAACCAAAAATACTGAACAAACTGCTGTCAAGGTTCTCAATCAAAAACTCTCTCAAATGGTGGCAACTCCACAGTATGTTTGCGTAAAGTCTTTCTTCACTTAATCACCTCCCAAAACGTATACTGACAAATATATCAACTTTACTACACTGAGGAGCTCATCTAAACAACCATATAGACCAAGGCAAATGGTCCCTTGTGGCATCAACACTAAATATCAGCCTGTTAGAGATCTAAATGATCAGGAATGTCCGTTCACATTTGTTGTTGTTGATCAAAGGCAAACATAGAAAAGTTGGTAGACAACACACAATGTATGCTTTAGATAAATCTCTAAAGAGAAAAATGAGTCCGATGGTGCTAAGGCAGTGCAACTCTGGAATTGATGCATTTGTCACAGCATCAACATACCAGCAACCTGCCTACCTTAGAACACCAGAGCAGACTCCCTCAGCAGAAATTTTTTGCAGCAGCATGAATGGAAAATGGACCCTGTTCTCATAACACATTTCTGCATTGGGAGAGTATCAGAAATAGACTTATTTTCCAAGGCCAACACCAAGAAATGTTCCCAGTTCTGCTCATCATTTGTGGAGACACTTTTCTCTCTTGCTGGAACACAGGTTTCCTTATTCCTTTCTTCTATTTTCTCTCCTATCAAAGGTCCTGCTCAAGAAAAGAGAGCAGAGATTATTCACATAGTTCTCATTTGGCCAAAACAAATATGGTTCCCCTCCCTTATCAGTCATTCTTTGGCCCTTTTTCCCCCTCCTCCTCTATCAGAATGCCAGATAGAGCTGCCACCCAACTTGTAGGTTCTGACTCAAGGCACAGCTCTTGATGATTTAAAAGCATAGAGATTTTCAGTTTAGAGGATGTGAAAGATGTGCTACTACATAGCTAAATAAATAAATTCATTAAAATGTATATTCACAAGTGAAAAAGATTCCAAATCTGGTGACTAACAACACAGTGTCCCCACATTCTCTCATTATCCCGTTTGTACTCCTCTACATTCTATATCTAAAGTCAGGATTATCTCTTAAAATCATCCATAACCTCCTTTCATGGTAAGATAGCAAGTCTGTTTTCACTTTTCCTACCTGATGTCAGGCTTCTTCAGAGGTTCCAAACAATTTAATCTGTTGTTGTTGAGCCAGTGGATGTGTAGTGTACTTTGGCCTTTAAGAAAGACTTTGATAAGATTACTCAAACATGGGCTTTTCAGCAAAGTAAGCAGTCATGGGATAATCATGTACCGTCTTCTCATCGTTCAGTAACTGGCATAAAGGGTAGGAATAAATGGTGGGTTTTCAGACTAGAGAAAAGCTGGTAACTGTGTCCCTCAAAGATCTGTACTGGGACCAGTGCTGTTCAACATAGTCAAACTATCTGCGAAAATGTGGTAAACAGTGAAGTGGCAATGTTTGTAAATGGTACAAAATTATTCCAGCTTGTTAAGTCCAAAGCAGACTGCAGAGTTTCCAAAGGATGTTGCAAAACTAGGTGACGAAGCACCAGGATGGCGAATGAAATTAAATTTTGACACATACAAAGTAATGCACATTTGAGAACAATCCCAGCTGTGCATGCACAAAGAAGGAATCTAAATTAGCTGTTAACCACTTAAGAGATCTTGGAGACATTGTGGATAATTCTTTGAAAACATCTGCTCAATATGCAGCAGTCGTCAAAGATAACCATTGTTGGGAATAGGGATGTTTAATTTTAGATTAGCTAATCAAATAGTAGATGCAATTTGCATCTACTATTCGATTAGTCGATAAGGATGCCTGAGCCTTTGAAGTGTAGCAACAGCCCCAGGGCTATTGCTACACTTCAGAGGTGAAAGTACTGCTGAGTGCATGGAGCTAGCAGGGGTCTCAAAATAGTCCCCTACTGGCCCCGTACTCTTCACTGCATTTCAAAGCGGCAGCTCTGCATGGAGCCCAGGATCAGTAGGGGCATCCGCAACTGACCCCAGGCTTCACTCGGTACTGCCACTTTGAAGCATCCCTTCCTTTTTCCCCCTGCTTGCTGCCTTTTTCTGTTAGAAGCAGCAAAGGGGGAAGTGATTAGTCGACAGCTGTATTGACAAGTCGTTCACATCCCTAGTTGGGAATCATTATAAAAAGGATCAATAAAGAAATACAAGATAATGCATCTATATAAGTCCATGGTATGATGGCAACTTTGCTGCATACATTTGATTGCCCCATCTTTAAAAGAATTGTTTTGGAAAAAGAGAAGGACAACAAAAATTTAGCTTTTGTAGGAGGAGAGATTAAAAAGATTGACTCTTTAGCTTGGAAAAGAGATTGTGAGGGGGATACAATGAATGGTGTGGAGAAAGTGAACAAAGTGGTGTTCTTTACAAAACCCAAGCTGTTCTTGGACTCTTCAAAGTTTCTTGGCCTCTGTTTATTCGCCAAGTTGTTTCATCTGAACTTTTTGCTGAATGTGCCTCTTCAACTATCAAACTTTTCTAGAGTAGCGGACAAACCCGGTCGTGTATATAGACATTTTCTTTGTGCAGCCTCAACCTTCCCCTCAAAACTACATGTTAGGGAGGTAAGTGCTTCAGTCTCGTTTATGATGGTTTCTTCTCAAGTCATGGGAAAAAGCCTGTTTGTTATCACATACAACACAGTGCCAGTGTTTTATTTCCATAGGCAGGGTGGTTCTTGCTTTTGCTTACTTTGTCAAGAGGCAGTTCACTTATTGAATTTTTGCATTTTCAGTTCAATTGATCTTGAAACCTCTTACATTCCTGGGTAGCAGAATGAGCTTCCAGACTGCCTAAGCAGATTGAGTCACCATAAGTGGTTTCTCTGACTGAATATAGGCAGATGCATCTTCCAGCAGGAGGGAATCCTTGAGTAAACCTATTCTCCACTAAAATCAACAGGAAATGCTATCCATTGTTTTCTACAAGGTTGCAGTTCTGGTTCCATTGAACTGTTTTAATTATGCAGGATCGTGACCAGTGATTTCATCTAAATCTTTTGACATGCATTTGTCCACTAATCAAAAGAAGGAAAAAATGCTTACTAAATTTCTGTGACTGTTCTTCAAGATGCACTGTGCATGTCCATTCTAGAACCTGCCCCTCCAGCATTAGAGGAGTTGAACAAAAAAGGAACAGAGAGGGTTCTGGGGTATCTGAGGTTCTTTATATGGACATTCAGCAGTGTGCATAAGAACGGCCGTACTGGGTCAGACCAAAGGTCCAGCTAACCCAGTATCCTGTCTGCCAACAGTGGCCAGCACCAGGTGCCCCAGAGAGGATGGACCGAAGACAATGATCAAGCGATTTATCTCCTGCCATCCCTCTCCAGCCTCTGACAGACAGAGGCCAAGGACACCATTTTATCCCCTGGCTAATAGCCTTTTATGGACCTAACCTCCATGAAATTATTTAGCTTCTCTTTAAACTCTATTATAGTCCTAGCCTTCACAGCCTCCTCTGGCAAGGAGTTCCACAGGTTGACTACACGCTGTGTGAAGAAGAATTTTCTTTTATTAGTTTTAAACCTGCTACCCATTAATTTCATTTGGTGTCCTCTAGTGCAACAGCAGAGAACTCTTGATCTGCTGCAATATGTGCCACTGAGGGGAAAATTTCCTAGGACTGCAAGGGTGTGCGCATACCAAACATGGAATGGACATATGTAACACCTCTTGAAGAACCGATGCAGAAGAATGGCAACCTTCTCTTCCCTCCCTTCCCCCGTTGTCTCCTAAATTCCCTGTGTTATGTACAGAGTGATTTTATTTTAAAAAATAACTAACCTCTAAGTCATAGCAAAAGGTGGGAAAGTCAAAGTTCTGTTGAATCTTTTTCAACACTAAAGCTGAATACTGGCAATTAGGAAGATATTGTTGGAGAATAAATGTAAAAGCTAAAGTTGCGCAAAAGCAAGGTTAAGTTGCCTGTACTGAATGTATTCAATATTTTAAATCCCTGCCTTTTTGATTGAAGGGACTGATCTGTCTCTCATTGAAGTGAATGACACTTTTTTTTTTTTAACTTCAATGAAAACATTTTCATGGTGTGTGTGTGTGTGTGTGTGTGCAATATAACTATGGGCAGATCTACACTATGGGGGAGAGGTGGTTTAAAATACGCAATTCCAGCTACGTAAATAAAGTAGCTGGTATCAATGTACCTTAAGCTGAGCTAGGGTGCTGTCCTCGCTGTGGGAGGTAAATGGGAGAAATGCTGCTGTTGACTACCCTTACTCAAGGTGCTGTAAGCATTTGATTCAGCACGGCCCCATTAGACCCTCTAAATTGAATGTCAGAAGATTGACAGTGCAACATCAGTCTTCCCAGTAATGTAGACATGCCCTGTGTATAACATTTTGTGAAATCCTGCACAACTGCATATAGCCAAGTAAATATTGCTCTGTGTGTGTGTGTGTGTGTGTGTGTATATCTTCTGCATTTCTTGATTTTTAAATGTACATCTTTAAACTTGTAATAGCTTTTGATCTTTTAGTTTTTATTCGCTGAATCATGTTGGATACAGCAGATAAGTAACTGAAAAGGGACCTATACCTAGAATCTTCCCTTATATCTCCTTGATACTTTCCTACACCGCTTGCTTTTTTTTTTGTACTGTTTTTGTTTTTTGGAATTTTTTGTTTCCTTTAATCGCTGTGTAGCCATACAATTTTGAACCTGCAGACTGCAAACATTGTACCTCTTTTAAAGTATTGTTTATTTACTTGTACTGCTCTCTACCTGTGTTTTTCTCAGCCCTTAACCAGTGGTGATACAGATTTAATTGAGCTCAGAGAGCTAGCTGAGCAAGACCATAGATGATTTGATATACATACTTTGAAGTAAGTATCTTCCAGATTAGTTTCATTTTTTAAAATTACTTTTACTTTTTTCAATAGGATCTGTGGCATCAAATGGTCCCACCACCACGTTGGTTGAGAAAAAGGCGTCAGGCACAAAAGCTAACGGTGGCAGTCAACAGTCCTCTTCCTCGGATTGCACTCAAAGTAAAACATGCAGCTCTAGTGTTTATCACAAACAGTTAGCAGCTCTAAACTGTTCTGTGCGTGACTGGATAGTAAAGCATGTAAACACAAATCCACTCTGTGATCTGACTCCCATATTTAGAGACTATGAGAAATATTTAGCAAGCATTGAACAACACCACGGAAGCAGTAGTGATAGTGGTTCTGAAAATGAAAGTAACAAAACAATTGGAACTCAGTGTGTTCCTACATTTGGCACTTCTAAACTTCAGCAAGGATCAACTTTTTTGTTTAACAGCAACAAAACTGAGGATAAATCTGACAAGAAAACTGAATCTACAATGGAAAAGAACAGGGAATCATCATTAGGAGCTACATCAAATGTTTCATTTAATTTTGGCAAGAATGTTGATAGTTCTATTTTGAGTTCCCTTAGTTCTGGCACAAAAACTAGTTTTTCATTCTCCCCTGGGAATTCGGGTGTATTTGGAAAAGACGAAAACCAGGGAAAGACTGTCTCTATGCTTTCCAGCAAGGTATTGGAAGCTCAGACAGAAAGTGGAAGTAGTGATGACAAAGGTAAATATGTGTGTCGTTTTTTGTATGTGTTTTTTCTTTTGACAAGTTAAACTTTTGCAAATAAGCTTTGAGTGTTGAGGTATAACTTGATATTCCATGACTACTTTGTAGTGAGCTTTTAAGCTTAAAATGGGGCTTGTCCATGTTTATTCACTGTTTTGCTCTTGTATTTTTAGTATGAATAATTGTAAAACTTTCTCTCATCCTGAATATCAGTCTTGCTGTCATGACAAATTAAATTTGTTGAATTTATACATATTAGTAGCATCAGCTCAGTGTTATATAAGCAGTTTATTTGCCTACAGAACTTGACATGTTACATGATTTGAAATCTTAAATTTGTGTTCATCCAAAATTTCAATCAGATTTGTAATTCATACCCAGTGTTGATTTACAGGCAGTCCCCGGGTTACATGGATCCGACTTACATCGGATCCCTACTTACAAACGGGGTGAGGCAACCCCGCACTAGCTGCTTCCCCCCAGCAAACCAGGGAGACGTGAAGCTAGAGCCCTCACCACCCCCCAGCAGACCAGGGAGACGCGGAGCAGCTTTTCTCAGCAGACACCTTAGCTTGAGAATAAAGGACTGAGGGAAGTGAGGTGTGGAGAATAAAACTGAGCTCTGGAGAAATGTTTGGCTAGAGTTTCCCCTACAATATGTACCAGTTCCGACTTACATACAAATTCAGCTTAAGAACAAACCTACAGTCCCTATCTTGTACGTAACCCGGGGACTGCCTGTATTTGAATACCTGTCAGACTGGTATATGTCTAAAAAGTGCACATTTCTCCCTGCAATGAAATGTAATTACATTGCAGTGTTTAGCTCCAGTTAAACAATGTACTGGAACCTGCATATTTAAAGGGGCTGCCACCTGTTAAAGGGAGGATCCCTTTTTATCTTTTTTAGAACATTCTCTAAAATTATAAATAATGATGCAACAATCAGTGTGATAAATGGTATTTTTATAAAAGTGCGGAATTTTAAATAGCACTGTCAAATACTGATTAGATTGTTATATAAAAGTACTATTTTATGTGAAAAGTGAGTGGGTTATTGCAGTGTTTTTGATTCCCTGTCCCCTATTTATCTGGAAATTACTACTGGTACAGTATTGATAAATGTTTCTGTTGTAATCCTATACATTACATTTATCTTTTGAGGTTCAGTGTAGGAACTTGTAACCCTATTTACTTGTAATCAACATTTCAGTCTGCCTATATCGAAGTTCTATAATTCTGTTTTGGGGAAAAAAACCACTGACTAGTAAGTAACTTCCCTTGACGTTTTGCGGCCTTTCCCCACCACACTTTCAATATTTGTGGAACTTACACTTTTGAACAAAACTAAGTTCCTTATTTTTCTGAATGGGATCAACCTATACAGTGGTACATTAAAGCCTTCAAGTCTCCAGGCAGTTTCGGGCCCCTTACTCAGTAGTTTTGTCGCACAGTTGCAGAGCAAAATTAATAAAATTCTGGTCAATTTCACTGCTGCTATTTATAAGTAGGTAGGAAGAAGTCAAACAAACAAAAAAATCAGTGTCCTTCTGCTACTGCTTAGAAAAGTTTTGAGTAGCAGCAGAGACAGGCACAGCATCCTGGTAGAATTCCTGGAAAGAGGCTGAGTTCTTACCCAGTTGTTGTCTCTTGCTATCACGGGTATAACTCTCCTTCACCTTCTCCCACCCCCAGGAATACTTTAAGCTCTTCAAATAATTTTATTTGGGGGGAGAGGGAGAACTACTCATGTAAATCTCTTCATTTTCTAACTAACCCCCTGCCCATCCTGGTTTTAAAAGACCCTTATAATTAACTAGCTGCTATTTAAACGTCCAAAATAGATATGGTGATAAAAATGATACCAATTATATTTAGCTGATGTGACTCTTAAAATGCTAGATTTACCAGGAACAAGTTTCTTACAGTTCCCTTACTTCCAAGGTACCAAAAATTTTAAATGTGATCTTAGGGGACTGTATTTGGGTACTCTGAATATGTAACTTTTTATGTTTGTGTATTACCAATAATGCACTGCGAAGAAAATATTTTTGAAGTAGCATCTGCACAATGTTGTTCTGAGTTGTATTAAATCATTCATTTGTTCAAGGAGGCGAGGAGGAGGAGGAGGAACCGCCAAAAGCAGTTTTTAATGAGGTGAAGGAAGACGATGCCTTTTACTCAAAGAAGTAAGTGATCGTTTTTAATGTTTAACAGCCACAGTGGATAAAAATCATGTCTCTGTCTCTCTCTCATTTTATATATATATATATATACACATACACACACACATATGGAGAGAGAATGAATTTTAAAAATTCAAAAAGCTTTTATTTACATGCTGCAGGTTCTGTAACTCTTTCCTATTTTACAGTCCTAAATTGGTTAAATTGATGTTTTCAGGGGTTTTTAGTTTCTTCATTGTTAAAACTTCAGATTTTACAGGATTTTTTTTTTCTGTGAAGAAGTTTCATCTATGCAGAAAATATAAGGTTTCCAAGGCATTGTCTACACTGCATTCTTTTTCCGCTTTTTTCCAGAAGAGGCTTTTCCGACATTTGACATTCCTCAAAATGAGGAATGCAGGGCTTCTGAAAGAACATGACCGCTTTTTCGGAAACTGTTCCAAAAAAGCAGATCCATTCCCTCGATGCGGCAGAGTTTTTCTGTGATACCTCTGGTGTCCCAGAAAAACTCTGTAGTGTAGACGTAGCCTAACTTCCTCACTGTGAGAACAGCACACACAAACAAAATTGATATGCAATAATTTATGCCCCTATTTGTAACCACCACCACATTCTACTATATCAAATCTCCACAGCTCAAGAAAGCTGAAATTCTTTGACCAGCTACACTCCATCAGATTTTGCAATTTGAAGTCTGAGACTTTTCACTTTATATGCTTTTTGAAAATCCCTCCCATAGGAGACTAAAGTTACACACTTTTTAAAAATTTTGGTTTGTATATGAAGTAATTCACAATATTTAAGGTATTTTAAGTCCATACTTTTTGTTAACATTGAACCAAATGTTTCAAATTCAGGCTTTACGCCTATTAAAAGAAATGTTTAATTAAAATAGTTTGTCAAAGTGCCTCATTCTCCAACTGCTTATGCACATGCTTAAAAGTTAAATTCTAAGTTTGAAATATTCTAACTCTGGCATTTACATTTTTTAACAGTTATTTTCAAGGTCAGCTTCCCATTTCTGAACCCTTTATTTTATGGGCATGCTGAAATCTGTTATGTTTTAACTTGACATTGTATGCGAATTCTGTTTCCCCAGTTTTCCTGTTAAATTAGCATTGCAGACAATGGCCACAAGCTTTATGTATTACAGTTTTTATTTAACCGCTATTTACTTTTACCATAAAATTTTAACTTAAAATGCTTTCAAACTTTTGTTACAAAAAAAGTTTGACAATGATTATTGTATGTTTCACATGGAATTGATAGTCAACAGTTTATACTTGAAACCTAAATGACACATTTTCTTCCTGAAATAACAATATAGACAAGCCTGCCCGTGCTGTGGGAGCTACTGTGCGGTAGTTGCAGTAAGAATCTGAATAATACATTTTGTGATCTGGGAGACTGGACATGTGTGGGAGGCTTCATTATTGAATGTCAGGTTTAAATTTATTTAAAGGGTTTTAACTGTATGGTCTTCTGTTGTCTATTTTCTGGGAGACTTTTTATATTTGTATTTACTGTCTGACTTTTATAGGTGCAAACTGTTCTACAAAAAAGATAATGAATTTAAAGAAAAAGGTGTAGGAACACTGCATTTAAAGCCTGCAGGAAATGAAAAAACTCAATTGTTAGTGCGAGCAGACACCAATTTAGGTATGTAACTTATGAGTCTTCCTTGTTAGTCTTGATAATGCTCTATAATCGTTATATTAGTACTCGCCTAATGGATTCAGTGTTTGCTATAATTGACAGATCTCAAACTTCTAGCATCTCTTATTTGAGCGTGTATATACATTGAGCACATAAGAATTTTTTTTAACTGTGAGATAGCTATAGTTGCTCTGAACTGTGACTGTTTTTTCCCCTCATGGTTCACTAAACACACACATCCTAGACTTCTAACTCACCTTTTGGATAGAGACCTGCATGTCTTCTTCCTAATGAGTTGCACATTTCTTCCTACTTACACTATAATAGTCTCAGCAAGCCAATATCTGCATTTTGCTTCCTCTTTGAAGACTGATTAGCAGTAATTGCCAGCTGTCATAAGTAACAATACAGTCCTTTATAAACAAATATGTTGATTAAGGTGAAAGCATTACAGAGAAAACATGTACAAAAGTAAGGTAATACACATGCGTAAATAAGCTTTAGCCAGAGATTACCCAACCGCTAACAGTGTCTCTAGAAGGAGACAGACCTTCACATACTAGTTCTTGTGTATTTAAATGTGTAATAGCCTTAGCTCAGAATTAGCACAATGACTGGATTTATTAGTCCATTATACAGCTTGGGCCTTTGATCTTGAGTCCCTGTTGGGCCAGCCAGAGAGCCCCCTCGAGTGGCGCCGGTATATTGGCACATATGTATCACTGCTGGCCCCCCACCCCATCAGTTCCTTCTTACTGCCTGTGACAGTAGCTGGAGTGGTGTAAGACTCTTAGCCTGTACGTAGTTTTACTTATCGCCTGAATATTGTATTAGTTAATTAGTAGTTCATTAGTTACTGTAAATAGTTAAGAAAGGAGGGCTTCTCCGGTCTGGTCTCTCCCCACCTGGGGAGGGGATGCCAGCGATTTGAGCCTGTGCCCTGTGGGGATCTGCATTACTCTTGCTTGAAGTGTCTTGGAGAGACCCACAGTACAGAGAGCTGCAACATCTGCAAACAGAGGACTAAGCACAAGAGAGACTCTAGGCTCAAGCTTATCCTCATGGAGTTTGCTTTACAGCTGCCGGCTCCGGAGCGGGTTCTGTTGGTGTGCAGCACACCATCCTCGGTACAGGAGACCTCAGTAGTGCTGTGCAGGCACCGGTCACAGTCCCCAGCACAGAGGAGAGCTAAGGATGTCAGGGGAAGATTGCCTGAGAGTCGTGGCTACAAGGAGTGCCCTAAGGAGGACAATCAGCCTCAAAGGCACTCTGGGATGTCCCGGTATCACCAAGGTGAAGACACAGCTCTACCTGGAGAGAAAGTCCGATACCGGAAGGGACTTTTGAAGAACTCCATCAGCCGTCAACCTCAGAGACCTTTGATTCGGCACGGGAGCTCATCGAACTGACCTCTCCAGATTCAGAGGCCTCAGCACTGCAGGTGCCAAGACAGCCATCTCCGGCATTGTGAGTAGCTCTGGGATAGTCTGAACTGGCATCAAAGCAGGCACTGAGTCAATCGGCAGCACTGGCACCGATACCAACATTGGCACCAATACCGGTTCCAGTACTGACACCGGCGCAGGCAATTGTGCAGCCGATGCCCATGCTTCTGTGGACAGCATTGGAAGGCCCAACACCGCAGACTGCTCCAGTACCTCCAGCATATGCGTCCTCCCAACCGCCACCTTTGGCACCAGTGTACTCAACCCTGGCAACGCCACACGGTCCAGTACCGATGGAACAACTTAATCTGACCCCGATGCCGCCAATGAGTCCACCAGCACCAGTGCACAGAAGGAAGCAGACAGACATGGCCTGACACCACTGGGAGCACAGGTCAACAGCTCCCCTATGGTCAACCTCAGATTACTTGTTGGAGTCAGAGGCCGAATCTGTACATTCGGTGAGACCCTCATATAGGTTGAGATCCTGGCACCACTCCCATGTCAATTATAGATTGCAGCGCAGGAGCCCTTTGGATACATGTACTTGGCCACCCCAATGGCAGCCACATCCCCAGTGGCCATTCTGGACTCCATGGGTCTACCACCAGGTTCAAGGTTCACCACCCCTGGTGTCAGTGTCGTCATGCCAGGGGAACAATGGTCACGAGTTAGGTGACTCTTTTTTTACAGGCATACGGCAAGAAATTGCCATATCTGTAAGTGATTGAGAAATTTGTGAATACTAGAGTGCTTGGTAGAGTCAGGATTGTGTAGCCTTATTATTGGGTGGGAAATTCTGTATTATGCAGTGGCACAAAATTCACTCAGGAATAACTAGAGCAGCTATAATAAATCTTATCTCCAAGCTTTGCCACCTGCACACAGTGCTCAATCAAATAGATCATCAGAATGAAACAGATAATACCAGTCTGCTGTTGCTTCAAAGAAATCATGAAGTAGAAATATACCTGCAGTTCTTACTGGTGGGAGAATCCCTTCCAATTCATCTGATGAAATGAATCTTTTTCATGAAAGCTCATGATCCTCTATATTTTTGTTGGCCTCTAAGATGCTGTGGGACTACTCGTTTTTAAAGTTACAGACTAACACTGCTATCCCTCTGTGTCTTGGGAATATGATGGGGAAAGAGAAATTTGAGAGTGGAGGGGCTATCTATCCCTCATTCCATGCTACATATTAAATTTCTGCTGTGTAAAGCTTACTAATATGTAAACTTTTTCTTAAAATGCCAACAATTTAATTTATATAACTTGCTCTTTTCTCACAAATGCAGGTAACATACTCTTGAATGTGTTGGTTCCGCCCAAGATGCCCTGCACAAGGACAGGAAAAAACAACGTTCTTATTGTCTGTGTTCCCAATCCACCAATTGATGAGAAGAGTTCCACTGTCCCTGTTACTATGTTAATAAGAGTGAAAACAAGTGAGGATGCAGATGAGTTGCACAAAATTCTACTTGAGAAAAAGGAGGTCTAAACATAGTGCATACAAATGCTCTGAGAAATTACTGCCAAACTGCTGCTACTCGTTTTTTCTTTAACTTAGAACACTTCTTAACTCTCTACTCTTACATTCTAAGAACGGTGTAGGAAAGCTGAAAAGTTTTTTGGGAGGAAAAGCTAAAATGACTAATAAAAGCTTTTACTGAAAACAAGTTTCCATCTATCTTCCCTCCTTTTTTGGAATATCTAATGTATGACCCATATTTGGACAAAATTTGTGCATTTAATTTAAAGTGATTGCTGGATTGACAAATCAAATTATAAAATGGGCTACCCTGTGTTCCTCAAGGCTTGAAGGTTGAAAGTGGAGCAACCTTATTTTTTGAGAAGGGAGAATGCTGCATTGTTTAACTTTTGAAACTGTTTCTAGACTGAATTTACTTTTTTTTTCTTTCAAAATACAAAACTGGTTTCTACTAGCTTTGGTAAGGGATCTAATCTTTTGAACTATCACCTGAAAAATTATGCATCTCAATAACAATGCCTCTAGATTACATTTCTTACAATTTTTTAAAAATAATGTACTGTTGGGATTTAGAAACTACATCTGTGGTTCCTCAAAGAAAATGTTTGCATTATTCCTGTTGACTTTAATGTTGCTCTGCTTCAAATTCAGGGTTTTTGTGTGTGTGTTTACTGTTACAGTAGTAGCCACAGAAAACTGGAGATGATCATCTCTCAACGCAGACTAGCCCTATAATTGGTATTGTTGATAGAGCTAGAGGCAAGGGTAGAGATTCCACTACTCACTTTTTCCTAGAAGTATTCTTCTCTATTCCCTGCAGGTTATGGTTCAGAAACACAACAGTAGAAGCAGTGTAGTGTGGAAAATAGGGTATGTATTTTCCCTTGCCCAATCTGTTCATAAAATTTTGTATGCATGAACATCAAATTAAATTAAATAAATCTTGCACTGTTGTAAGTGTCTCCTACACGGCCAAGAGTTTGTGTAAACTTGGGTACTATACTATTAAATATTTGTCTCTCTCTGAAAAAGCAATTTGCTGGCATTACATAGAACAGTTGGATTGGCTACAGCGTTATAGCTTTTGGACTACTGAAACATCTTAATCTGAGCAAAGTATTTAGTGTTAATCTGGAAGGGAGCTCAGATGCTGTATAGACATGACCATTATAAATGTAAATTGGTGCCTTTTTTGCATTTGGTTTTGTATTTAGCCACTGAAGTGTGTGTGTGTGTGTGTGTGATTAGTTTCCTTCTAAAGTCATGCTGGCACACAACTCAGATCAGAATTTAAATGTCTGCATGTTAATTCTGTGAGTGAAAAATCATAATGTGTACAAGTTTTACAGACTCAGGTTGAAGGGCCAAGGGAGGAAATAGTTTTGAGTTTGTTTTTAGAAAACAAAATTCAGTGAAGAAATTGTTTTGTAGGCCACAAGTTACTGCAAATGGAGGAGAGTAATCTGAGGAGCAGATCACTAATTAGGCACCTCTCAGTTTAAGAGGAATTTTGTATTACTCTTAGGTGTCTAATGCTTGGTATTTGTTTACTTCCTCATGTGCGAAGATATGTAGTAACAATGTGCCTCAATTGCAATGTGGACCAATAAACAGGCTAGACAAATTCATTAGTGGCACATTTGGCTAACTTTCCATGTGTCCTTTGCACATTGCCTCTGAAATTAATGAAATCTGAGCCATGGAAATGCATGTTTTGACTTGCTGTTGAAGCTGGGTAGGCTAAGTAGAAGAGGCTTATGAATGGTTCTGTTACCTCTGTGATTGCAAGCATTTAAAACGTTTACATTGTGACTGTATGTTTGGTGGTTGGTGTTGACGGCAGGAAAGAGGATAGGACTAATGCTATTTAAGGAAAATCTAATATGCTGGAAACTTTATGCCCCACAATGTCCAAAATAGCAAATACACAAATTTTCCATGGTAGTTTGGGAGGACACACCTTATTTAGCTTAGCATGTGTTGGTATTTGTAAATGACATGTAAACATACATAGGAAAGATGAAATAGGCAAGTTTATATTCTCATAATACTAAAGTCTCCCTTAAAGAAAACTGTACACATATGAAATGTCTTAGGTCTATTTTTTTCATTTAAATTTGTAATCAGTTACAATTAAATAGGGAAAAGTGATATTAAATCTAAAAGTTCTTTCTTATATTGACTCTTCAGTAATTTGAATTGAGAGAGTGAGAACTTAAATTGTATGCTTTACTTGTAGTGTTCAATTGTAAATCAAATTATTTTGCTCTTAGGGTTATAAAAATGATTATTGTGGCACAATGGTTTGGCTTTTGTAGTTCATGGGACAGTGAGGGAGAAACCTAGAGTAGATTTTAGGAAAGTCTACAGATTTTAATACAGACCCTGGGGATTTTGTTGTTTGAAAAATTAACTAAACACAAATTAAAAGTAAATGTAAAAAATGGAGTTTGTTAGGAAATTACCCTTTAATTTGTATTAGGATGTTATCTGTTTCTTAACTATGAGTGTCTTAATTAGAATTCTAATTCAATAAATAATTTATTTCTTGCCTTGTAGATAGAGCATTGCTGTCTTCTTTCAAGAAGTAGGGAAATAAACAGGAACTAGAAATGCTAATGAATAATCATAACTATGGCATAATTGGCACCACAGTCTTAGTAGGATAATACACAACTAGAATATTAGTATGGAAGGGTTACAGCTTGCTCAGAAAGGACAAAGGTGTGTGGGTGAAAATACACACACACACACACACACGAATTGAGATTGAAATAGAAGACAGACTTGTTCAAAATGCCACGGTAGAGGTAAAAAAAAAAAAGCCAGGGTAATGTCATGGTGGAGGTCTACTATAGACTGCTTAACCAGAAAAAAATAGTTAGGTAAGCTTTTTACAAACAAAACTAAACCTCCAAAACACAGGACTTGATGATGGTGGACTTCCTAGATGTCTGTTGGAAAAATAATACAGCTAGGCATAGATTAGTCAAGTTCTTGAAATGAATATTGGAGATAACTTTGTTCAGAAGGTAGAGCAGGGAACTAAGGGAGAGACTGTTCTAGATTTGATTTTGACAAACAGGGAGGAATTTGTTGAGATTTTAAGAGCAGAAGAGAGCTTGGAAGAAAGTGATCATAAATGATATGGTAACAAGAAAACATTCCACAAATACCTTGGAAGCAAAAAAGATGACCAAGGACAGAGTAGGTCTGTTTCTCAATGAGAGGGAAAGGAAAATAGAAAATGTGTATATAGAAGTGCTAAATACCTTTGTTTTCACCAGACAGGCTAGTAGCAATTGGACATTTATCATAGTAAACACCAGTAAAAATGAGGCAGGATTTGAGGCTAAACCAGGGGAAAAACTAGTTAGTTGTCTTCAGGTTGGCAGGGCCTGATGAAGTACATTCCAGAATACTCAAGGAGCTGATGGAGGTGATCTCTCAGCCATTAGTGATTATCTTCAAAAAATCATGGAAAATAGGTTCAAATTTATAAAAAGAATAAGGACAATGTGGGGAATTAAAGACCAGTCAGCTTCACTTCTTCAGTATCCAGAAAGATAAGGGAGCAAATCAATTTGCAAACACCTAAAAGATAACTGATACGTCAACACACATTTGCCAAGAACAAATCACATCAGTCTAATACTGTCGCTTTTTGATAGGGTAACTAGCTTGGTGAAGCAAGGGGAAATAGTTGTGGTATATCTTTATTTTTGGTAAGGCTTCTGATAGTGTCGTATATGACCTCAAACTAGGGAAATAAAGCCTTGAAGGAGCTACTATAAAGTAGATGCTTAACTAGATGGAAACCTGTTCCAGAGTAGTTATCAAGAGTCAGGCTGGAAGGGCATAATGAATGGGGTTCTGTAAGGCTCAGTCCTGGAAATTTTTCTTCATATCTTAATACATGATTTAGATAATGGCATAGAGTATGCTCAACAAGTTTACAGACAATACCAGGCGAGGAGAGATTGCAAGTGCTGTGTAGGACAGGATTAAAATTCAAAATGATCTGAACAAACTGGAGAAATGGCATGGGGTATCTAGTATGACATTCAATAAGAACAAATGTGTATTCCACTTGGAAGAACAATAAGTTGCACACTGACAAAGTGAGAAATTACTATCTAGGAAAGAGTACTGCAGGAAGCCATCTGGGGTTGATATTAGATTACAAGCTGAATTAATCAGTAACACTGTTGCTGATACATGCGGATTTTTTTTTGCAACAATATTGTAAGAGAGAGTAATTATTTTCCACTCTGTGCTTAAGGCCTCAACTGTGTGTGTGTGTGTGTGTGTGTGTGTGTGTGTGTTTTTTTGGTGTCTGAGCACCACACTTCAGAAGAGATATACACAAATTAAAGGAACATAAACATGATTTACAAAGAAAGATGGAAAAGAAATTTGTGGAGAAGAGGGAACTGTGAGGACAAATGTTTTCAAATATATAAAAAAAGTAGAAAAATTGTTCTTGTTAATCTCTGAGGATGGCATAAGAAGCAGCAGGCATACATTGGAGCAAGGGATATTTAGGTTAGACATTAGGAAAAGCTTCCCAAATGTTGGGTAGCTAAGCACTGGAACAAATTGCTTTGGGAGGTTTTAGAATCTCTATCATTGGCAGGGCTCGCTGAACTGTGGCGAGCCCTGCTCGCCAGCTGCGCTGTCTGGAAAATCGTTCTGCACATGTGCAGATCGCCCGAACCCGGCTCTTCCGGGTTACAGTCTACTCACCCGTGGTGAGTAGATTGTATTATTTGTCGAGCCCTGATCATTGGACATTATGAAACAGGTTAGGCATACTTTTCAGGAATGGTCTAGTTATTACTTACCCCTGCCTTGACCACAGGGGAAGGGCTAAATGACCTATTGAGGTCCCCTACAGTCTTACACGTCTGATGCAATGTGACATTGTGCCAGCTGTCTGTTACACATTTGTGCAAGAAAGTTCTTCCCAATCTGACCTCAAATAATCAGTTTAAATGTTACAGCTGTAGATTGTTTTGATGGTTTTACATATGTTTGAGTTTGTTCTAATTTTGAAGCTCTGACTTTCTGGATATATTTTCCCCTCAAAAGAACAAGATTAACACCATTTCTTGTTCTTACAAAATCCATTTGTTATGAATATTAAATCGGAATGACTTAATAAAACCAGGTTTTAGCTGTTCCGGAGCAGAGAAATGGGTCATTGAGTGGCTGCTGTTGTTCCATGCTCCCCTCTAATGGCAGTCTAGCAAGATTCCAGTTAAATCTACAGCGATGCATCTTTTAAAGTAAATGTATAATTAAGCATAACAGTTAAAATGTATGTTCAGTGCTACCTACTTTAGTTCCTTTTGCAACATCATGACTTCTGAAATGTCAAGACTTTTCTGATGCCTTTATTTATTTGCATTTGCTAAATTTTGTGGCTGGTACATGTGTAAGCAAAAATATTTAAATTGCACATTAAACAACTTCAAATGGCATGAACTAGTATGAAATCAGTAATTAAAGGTTATTGAATTGAGTAATGTAACAATTTGCTCTTCATTATTGTCAAAGCCTTCAAAAAGCTCAAGTTTTTTCCATAGGAAATCTTTTAATTGAATGCTAGATTTGTCATGTAACTTCTTGTTAATTCTAATACATTCTGAGGAAATGTACAAATTCCATGGAAAATGTGAATAAACAAATGGGAGCTATAGCAGCCCTTTTTTTTTAATGTTTCACTTTGTACACTTTTGGGTATGACTAATGGTAAAACTTCACGGTGGGAAGTGGCAGCTACTTGAAGGGAAAACTCTGCTCTGGTGCAAGTAGGGATAACTAACTACAAGGGAATTTTACCTGCTTATACCAAAGTTGAATTTGAGCTTTAAGGTAAGCCAGGCCAAGAGAAAATGAAAATACCTTCACAAAACCCAGAAAGGTGGATTTTCATAGCTGTGCTAATCCAGGTCTCAGCAGGAGCTTTTACTGCCAAAGTCAGAAATGGCAATTCCACGTCCAGTAGCCTTATACGGAATAGCTGGCTAAATGCTCCTCTTCCTCCTTTTGATTGTCCAGGTTTGGCATTCTACTAATAAGCAAAAATGTAAAGTAAATACTACAAATTAGGTGAAACCAATAATATGGCCCATCATTAAGGTTGCCTAGCACTTCGTGTGTCAGTTGATTATGATTTTACCAAATTTTAATCATTGATTTAAAAAAAAAAAAAAATCAGAAACCATGCAGATGAAAATTGGGTAAAAGTGGTTCTTCGTCGAGTAGTGTCCCCGAGGGTGCTCCACTCGAGGTGATGGGTCCGTCCCGGCGCCGCAAACGGAGAAACTTCCACAGCAGTAGCCCTGCCGGCCCGCGCATGCGCTCCTGTTGCCTCGCGCCGTTACAGCTGAGCGCGGGCCGGCTTGTCAGTTTCCTTCAACCGTCCGCGGCCGCAGACGGACCTAGGACGCGCTCCCTCTCCGGCCTGAGGAGAAAAGGGAATTTCATTTAGAAATTTGTTTGCCACTTGGCAGTTTATAGTTAGGATAGTTCTTAGTAGTTTTTACTTAGTTAATTAGTCTCAAGTTCCTTGTTTCCGTCCTAGTTTATTTTTTTAGTAGCCTTTCAAAAAAAAAAAAAAAAAGAGAGAGAGAAAAGGAAAGAATAGACAAAATGCCTGGTTTCAAGAAATGTTCCCAGTGCCAGGAGGCCATGCCGGACTCAGATGGGCATTCGCGCTGCGTTAAATGCCTAGGGGATGGGCACATCCCTATGAAGTGCCCTCACTGCATGAAACTGACAGCCCGCGCTCGGCGCGATAGAGAAATGAGGCTGAGGGTGATTTTATTCAATAAAGCCCTCCAGTCTGATGCGACCACGTCTTCTCCCACTACCTCGGGAGTTCACTTGTCCCGTTCACCTCAGAAGGACCTCAGCAATGCCGAGCCACAGCCCAGGACCGTACGGGACAGACCAGGTACCTCTGGCTCTTTGCCGAGGCACCCGACAGAGAAGCCAGGCAAGAGCCGCAGTGCCTCAGCTCCGACTTTGGTCGGATCAAAAGGCCAGATGCGGGCTCCCTGTAAGGGACCGCGGGCAGACTCGGCACCGACAAAGGCTCCAACGGTCGGGCCACAAACAGCAATGGCGGCTCCGGCACCGGCTGATACTGCGCATGCGCAGTCAATGACAATTCCGCCGGCACCCATGCCCATGGTGCCAGCTGATGAGACCTTGCTCCCTGCGGTGCTGCAAGCAACGGCGCCGACTCAGGCACTGCAGGTGGCCAGCGGCACCGTACAACACTCTGCACCGCAGCCTCCTCCGGCACCGGCACAGCTGTTAACTCCCGCAGCACCACTGATTCAACCCCAGAGCAGCCATGCGACCGGGACCACACCCCTCCTCCGGTATCGGCACAGCTGTTACCTCCCGCGGCACCGCTGATTCAACCCCAGGGCAGCCATGCGACCGGGACTACACCACTTCAAACAGCACCGTCTTCTCCCACAGATTGTTCGATGCTGAATGAGGTGCCCTTCAAGTCAAGACGCGTGTGGACCCCTTCACTCACGCCTGAAAGGGCACGGTTCTCTCCGGGACCATGGTCACCAGCTTCAATCTGCTCTGGGAATCATCATTCTTCTCATTATATCTCCACTAGAGATCGATATCGTAGATCGCCACAGCGATCACCGTCGCACCATCACTATAGCTACCACGACCAGCGACGCTACTCCTATTATTCTCGTTCACCATCTCGTTTTTCTGACAGATCTATATCACCGAGGTCTTCGAGACATTCGAGATATTCACGTCGATGCGAGGAGTCTAGAGCCTACACTCCTAGACGATCCCCGACTCACGGTCAGAGATGTGACTGTCATTATGATGACCGTCGGTGTCCTCATAACACGCGATATCCACGATCACGATCTCCGCAAACCACACGCCCTGCGTCTCTACCTCGTGCGCCTTCGCCGGCGATTCCATCAGTGCCTGTGGAGGGCACGATGCCAGTTACTAGTCAGGACGCGTATGAAAAGAACTACACTCCAAATACGGAACCACAGACCCCTGACTCTCCAGCCAACCAGTCATCTCCGGACGATGCTGTCTTTCCTGGTGAACAACCCCCCACGGAAGATCACAAACAGTTCCAGGAGCTCTTTGCCAGAGTGGCACAATCTCAGGGTATCCAGATTACGGACGTACAGCAAAAGCAACATCCCTTGCTGAAGAACTTGCAGTCCTCACAAAAATCAAAGCTGGCTCTACCCTTCGATGAGGCTATCCTGGAAATCGCAAATGATATATGGCAGACCCCCGCCACTTCTTTACCGACTAACAAGAGAGCGGACAAGAAATACTTTATAAATCAAAAAGGGATGGACTTTTTGTTTACCCAGCCCAATTCCCTTGTTATGGACGCCGCCCAGCAAAGATCAAAGTCGGCCCAAAATAAAAATACGGCAAGTGATAAAGAGGCTAAACGCCTGGACATTTTGGGTAGAAAAGTGTATTCTTCTGCCACTTCAGTTCTCTGGATGTGCAATTACGCCGCCCCTCTTGCCAATCACGACTTTGATAACTATTCCAAGTTAGTCTCTCTTCTAGAGCACCTACCAGACTCAAAACGCCAGATCTTGAGGGCAGTAATACAAGAGGGCTACACAACAGCCAGAACAGCGCTTCAGATCGCCCTAGACACTGCTGATGCAGCAGCTAGAGCCACGGCTACTGCGGTAGTTATGCGTCGCGGGTCGTGGCTGCACCAAGCAGCTGCCCCGAGGGAGTTATTAAGCAAAGTGGAAGACTTACCTTTCGATCGTCAGTCTCTCTTCGCCCAGTCCACTGATCAGGTGTTCCACTCGGGCAAGGACTCCTGTACAACTCTTAGAACGCTTGGCATGTACACGCCTCCGTATAAACGTAAGAGGTATACGCCCTACAACAAACAGAGATCCTTCTCTTACGCAACATTCCGCCCCAAGTCATATGAACAACAGAGATCAAGACAACGCCAGCAAAAGCGAAGACAGCAACCTGGCAAGACTTCCGGTCAACAGCAGGGCCGGCAACAGGTTTGATGGGTCAGTCGAGGGACTGCGTGCAACTCCTTTGTCGGGAGCGTCACACAATCAGGTAGCCTTATTCCATCATCGGCTGAGGCCTTAACATCGCTGGTCTCTGATCTCCACCGATCGATGGGTCAACGACATAATTGTTTCAGGATATGCCATCCCTTTTAACTCCATTCCCCCCCACTTCCCGCCCTCCCCGTCCCTTTTCAGGGACCCCTCTCACAAGTTTCTGCTACAGCAAGAGGTTTCCCGACTACTTACTACAGGAGCCCATAGTAAGTAGGTACCCATTCAATTTCGGGGGAGAGGTTTCTATTCCACGTACTTCCTCACCCAGAAGAAGTCAGGGGGTTGGAGGCCTATCCTGGACCTGCGTCGACTCAACCGCTACCTGAGAAAACAAAAATTCAAAATGGTCACTTTAGCTTCTATCATCCCGGCTCTCCACAAAGGGGATTGGTTTGCGTCCCTCGACTTACAGGACGCCTATTTCCACATAACCATTCACCCGGCCCACAGGCGATTCCTTCGTTTCGTAGTGGGCGCGGAACACTACCAATACCGAGTGTTACCCTTCGGTCTGTCAGCAGCACCACGGGTGTTTTCCAAAACCCTGGCAGTGGTAGCTGCCTACCTCCGACGCCTCAATATCGCGATTTTCCCATATCTCGACGATTGCCTATTAAAGGCCCCGACTCGCGAGGAGGCTACGTGGGCAGTGACCACCACCACAGCCGTATTCGAGGCTCTGGGCCTCATAATCAATGTCAGCAAATCATCCTTGGCACCAAGTCAAGACTTGGAGTTTATCGGCGCGAGACTCGATGCACTGAGTGCGAGAGTATACTTGCCGCCATATGGCCCACCACATATGTGGTGGCACATGCGAGACTTCATCTACGCAGCCTCCAGCATTGGCTGTTCAAAGTCTACACACCGGGGGGACACGCTGTGAGCAAGAGTGTCCATTCCCCGACAGGTCAGGACTTCACTAATATGGTGGGACAACCCGCAAAATTTGTTATCAGGGGTCCCTTTCCACGCACAAAGACCCACAGTGCAGATCACAACAGATGCTTCTCTGATCGGTTGGGGCGCACATCTGCAGCAACATCGAGTTCAGGGACTCTGGTCGGCACAGGAGTCGCTCCTACACATAAATCTCCTCGAGCTCCGAGCTGTATCCAATGCATGCAGGCACTTCCTTCAGAGGATCCGAGGTCATGCAGTCCACATCCTCACCGACAATATATGCACGGTGTACTATATCAACAGACAAGGCGGGGCCCGTTCACGATCCCTGTGCGCGGAGGCGATACGACTGTGGAACTGGGCGATCCACCACAATATAACCCTTACCGCATCGTACCTCCCAGGCAAAGACAATACCATCGCCGATGCCCTGAGCAGACACTTCCTTCCTCAGCACGAGTGGGAGTTACACAACGAGGTGGCCCACGGTCTCTTCCGTCTCTGGGGGTTCCCGAGTATAGACCTCTTTGCCACTCGTCACAACAAGAAGTGTCATCATTACTGCTCACGGGCAGGTACCGGCAAGAATTCCCTGGGGGACACTCTTCTGCTCAATTGGGGATCTCACCAACTTCTCTATGCGTTTCCGCCTCTTCCTCTCATTCCAAGGGCACTGGAG